TATCAATATTATCAAAATATTGGTAAGGGGAGATTATATCTAACAGGTTAATTTTTCAACAATGAACAATGTGCATACCTCAATGAGGATAATGTGTAGGTATAGGAGTGTTTCATTATACTGGATGCTGAAGTTTGTTTAAACTTCCAAAACACAAGTCTATTTAGTGGAAGTAAACGTTGATTGCTTGTTTGTATAAAACGTACTAGTATAATTCCACCTTGTTTATGTAAAACGTACTAGTATAATTCCACCTTGTTTTCATTTAAAAATATGATGCAATTTTATTGGTCAGGTACATACACTTAAAAATCTACATAATATTATAAATATTGAAACATCAAGGTACTAGCTTCTTAACATTAAAAACAAGTTTGACAGTCAAACCCTATATCCTACATCAGAAATTTCTTCCCCTCTCCCCCTCCCCCTCCCCCCCAAAAAAAATTGACTATGTTCAACAATTTGCAAGTATTAAAGAAAATCAGAATCCTTTCCACATGCACATGTCAGGTGTATGTAGAACTGTTGTACAATATAAATATAGGTTCTAACTAAAAACTGTAGGAAGACAAACCCTGTTCTCTTTACAGGATTGATTGATTGATTGATTGATTGGTTGTTGATGTTTAACACCACTATCACCACTCCTGTTGCTAGATCTTTAATAGCCACTTTCTATTGGTGGAGGAAGCCAGAGTACCCAGAGAAAACCACTGACCTTCAGCCGGTCACTTAAGATAGTAGTGGAAAACACCTGGAGCAGGGTTCAGAAACCAAATCCCAGTGTGGACAGACTAATGATAGAATAGAGAATGGAAATGGGGAATGTGTCAGAGACAACAACCAGACCAAGAGCAGGAAACAGCCCAAGGCCACCCATGTGTTGTCAACACACCCAGAAAATCTGCACCCAGAGGCAGGCTCCTAAACAATAATGAATACTATTTCATGTTACTATCTCAAGTGACCTGTAGAAGATAGTTCATAGTAGTGATGACTGCTTACAACACTCGGCAACGAAAGACCTGCATTATAAAGGAAATTTCTCCCAACATTTATAAAGTTCAACAGCTATTTTACGTTTTTGTAGAAAAAAACTCTTTTAAAAAAAACTTTCCCATAAATGATTTATAGAGACTTAACCACTACACACACGTTATAAAAACAAAAGTAAAGGAACAGTCCTTTAATTGCTGTCCTTCATCTCAAAGTGAGTCCTTCAGCATAAACTCTCACCTCACTGCAGGTTCAATAGGGACCCTAGCACTAGTTAGAGTGGAAATATTTGTGAAATGTTGATTATGCTACATTTGTGCATTAAAGAACATAGGAATTGCAGTTTATAGACCAAATATGGTACAGGAATTGTCATATTACACAGACTATATGTGATCCAAGAACTATAGTACATGTATTACACATACCATATAAGGTGCATGAATAATAGCATTGCAACGAAAACATGTGGTGCATGAATAATAGCATTACACAGACCACATGAGGTGCAGGAATGACCCTTTGTAGTACTGGCCTCGCCATTTCAAATATGATTATCATATTCAGATTCAGAATTCAACCAAAAACAAACTGGATTTTGTGTATAAAGCAAAAACAATAAAACTCTTAAGTTCCAAGTAAAGTTTTATGATTGAGAGCCTAGAAATTGTTTACACAGACCACATGTGGTACAGGACTGTGAAATTACAGATACCAAAGGTGATCCAGGAAATGTATCATTACACAGGCCTAATGTGGTACAGGAAATGTAGCATTACAATCACCACATTTGGTACACAAAATGTAGCATTAGACAAACCACAGGTGGAACAGGAAATGTGGCATTACAAACACCACAATTTGTACATAAAATGTAGCATTAAATAAAATGTTATCACAGAGATATTTCTTGCCTTTTTGTAATTTTGATAATGTAAATGTTGAAATTAAAATTGTAATGAGATGTGCCAATGCTAATACAACTGCATACCAATACCATTGACTTATTATAAGTCGTTCCCTTTAAACAAACCTAAACACAAACATTAACTTGTAAACTATGTAAAAGTTTCAAAGTCAATGAACCATGATCAGGGGTAGGGCTATATAATCTCCATGGAAACGATACTTGCAAATGCCAATAAATTTTCATACCAAATATCAATGACTTAACATTAGCAGTTCATCTTAATCACAAACTAATACATGTAAACTAAGCAAAAGTTTCAAAGTAAAAAGACCATGACTGAGGGGGCGGGGCCAAATATTCTCCATGGAAATGAGATGTGCTAATGTTTATACAACTGAACACCAATTAACATTGGCCTACCTCTAATGGTTCCCCTTGAACTGACCTAATCACAAACTAATACATGTAAACTTAGCAAAATTTTCAAAGTCTATAGACCATGACTATGGGGGCGGAGCCAAATAATCTCCATGGAAATGAGATATGCCCATGCTTATTCAATTGCATACCAAATATCATTGACCTACCACTAGTGGTTCCCCATAAATTGACCTAATCACAAACTAATACATGTTAACTATAAAAAGTTTCAAAGTCAATAGACCTTGACTGAGGGGGCGGGGCCAAATAATCTCCATGGTAATGAGATGTGCCAATGCTAATACAACTGCATACCAAATATCATTGACCTATCACTAGTGGTTAACCATGAACTAGACCTAATCACAAATTAATACATTGTTGACGCCGCCGTCGCCGCCGACACTAGAAACAGCATACCTATGTCTCGCTTTTTGACTCCGTCAAGGCGAAACAAAAACAGTATGTGGCACAGGAGTTGTTGCATTACAAAGAACACATGTGGTACAGGAAATGTTGTATTACAGAGAACACATGTAGTACAGGAAATGAAGCTTTACAGAGACAACATGTGGTACAGGAAATGTTGTATTACACAGACAACATGAGGTACAGGAAATGTTGTATTACACAGAACACATGTGGTACAGGAAATGTTGTATTACACAGAACACATGTGGTACAGGAAATGTTGTATAACACAGAACACATGTGGTACAGGAAATGAAACATAGCACAGACTACATGTAGTACAGGAAATGTTGCATTACAAAGAACACATGTGGTACAGGAATTTTAGCATTACAGAGAACACATGTGGTGCAGGAAATAGTGCATTACACATACTACATGTGGTACAGGAAAAGTTGCATTACACAGACCACATGTGGTACAGGAATTTTAGCATTACATAGAACACATATGGTACAGGAAATATTGTATTACACAGACCACATGAGGTACAGGAAATGTTGCATTACACAGACCTTATGTGGTACAGGAATTTTAGCATTACATAGAACACATGTGGTACAGGAAATAATGCATTACACAGACTACATGTGGAACAGGAAATAATGCATTACACAGACTACATGTGGTACAGGAAATGTTTCATTACACAGACTAAATGTGGTACAGGAATTTTAACATTACACAGACCACATGTGGTACAGGAAATAATGCATTACAAAGACCACATGTGGTACAAGAACTGTTGTATTACACAGACCACATGTGGTATAGGAATTTTAGCATTACAGAGAACACATGTGGAACAGGAAATGTAGTATTACACAGACCATATGAGGTACAGGAAATGTTGTATTACAGAGAATACATGTGGTACAGGAAATGTTGCATTACAGAAAACACATGTGGTAAAGGAAATGTTGTATTACACAGAACACATGTGGTACAGGAAATGTTGTATTACACAGACCACATGTGGTACAGGAAATGTAGTATTACACAGAACACATGTGGTACAGGAAATGTAGTATTACACAGAACACATGTGGAACTGGAAATGTTGCATTACAGAGAACACATATGGTACAGGAAATGTTGCAATACACAGAACATGTGTGGTACAGGAAATGTTGCATTACACAGACTACATGTGGTACAGGAAATGTTGCATTACAGAGAACACATATGGTACAGGAAATGTTGCAATACACAGAACATGTGTGGTACAGGAAATGTTGCATTACACTGACTACATGTGGTACAGGAAATGTTGCATAACACAGACTACATATGTCATAAGTGATTTACATAGAGCTTCTCTGATGAAGATTTGTATGAAATTTTTACTATTAAGGTAAAAAGGTATTATTCAAACATCAAAATAAAGACAAAACTTCCTTATATAAGATTTTACCTTGAAGTTCTTGTCAACAATCAAAATACTCTGTCGTCTACCAACACTCACTTTCCTCTTCGATTTATCCTCCATTTCTAAATCGATGTTTCTAAATCGTTTTAAATTTCAACATTTAAATGTAAGCAAATTGTTAGAAACTATCATTTATTTATGATTTATTATTCAAAATCATAATTCCAAATCACTGGAATGCAAAATCGAAGTTAATGTACGATACAATTTATCTGATTTTTGTTCCGATTAATCCTCTGAAATACACTTAAATTTAGGAGATCATTTATCTCTTCTGATTCCTAACAAACTGGGTATGTCCTTTTAGACAAAATCTGAGTATATATCATAGGTAAAAATCAATTGCTGATGACAATGTCAAAGTTCAGCCATTATCCATCAAAAACTGTCAAAATGTAACATTTAAATTGATGTAGATAAAATGCAGACACAATGTAATTTAATTTTCCACCTCCATCCACAACAATAATTAACAGTTTTATCTCTCTAAATTTCTGTTAACAGATTCATCAAACTGTCATCTTTTAGTCATTAATTTAACGATTTTATAATAATCTGTTCCTTTAAACTTAAGTTTAAACTGTATCCAATAGATGCAAGACTAAACAAGAATCATGATTTTTTAACATCAACATTATCTTTTCTTCATTATGTACATGTAGGATTTTAATCCTTTATTGCTATAGTAACAACAAATGAAGCGCCAATACATGAATTCAATTGAATCAAAATCAAATGAGTTTTTCCGTCTTTCACAGTAGTTGGTCTTCTAAAGAAGAAAGTCCAATAACTATTCGATAAAGTCATAAATAGCTGTAATTTTTAAAAGTATTATTGCTTCTTTTCACCTTTTTACGACATGTTTTTATCCAATAATTTGTCACTGTGAATTCAATTAGTGTTTAAAATTGAAAACCAGTGAGCAAATTCCTTTAAAACACGACATTTCCACCTATACTTAACATCAATGATTTTTAAATTATATGTTTTGCAATGTCTGAGACAATTTTAAACCGTATTTATGAGAATAAACAAATGTTGGATAAAAAAATTTATTGTTTAATATACTGGATGTCTTGTGGAGCGAAAGAATCTTTACAAACAAAGTAACTGGCCTGTGAAAGAGGATCACTTAATTCAAAGAACTAAACAAGTCCTAATCACGTAACAGTAATAACAGAAATATTCTGGTCAACTGTTTCTTGATCAATTACAGTTATCAGTCGAGGATCTACAATTACTCCAACATTTAACCTTGACTTATAACTCTTGGTCTAGCAAATTTTAAACAGGATTTAAATGCTAATTGTATTAATTATTTTAATTGATTGTGTTGATGCAAATTAAATTAAAAACCAGAGATCTGTATGAATTATTATTTGATGTTGTTATCAGTCAATGGTGGAAATTATGGACGTTCCTGACATGATTAGGTAAGTTAAAGACATTTTATATAAGATGTAAAATTTAATGTATGTATAAGAAATTTTGTCTTTGTCAAAATAGCAATTTTCACTTCAGATATTTGTTCAATCTGGTTCAATTTATAAGTTTTGATGTTTTATCTAATATGAAAAGTAAAAATCTAAAGCACATCTACAGGGAAAACAGATCTTTGGACAGCATCAATTTATCCAAAAAACTTTTGATTTAATGTCTTTTTAATATAAAATAACCAATTGACACAGAGATATGTCTCACCTGTATATAATTTGTATACAATGAAATGATTGCCAATAATACAATATAAAAATATGGGGGAAAAAAAGAGGCAAAGGATACCAAAGGGACATTCAAACTCATAAAGTTGAAAATAAACTGACAACGCCATGGTAAAAAAAAAAAAAGACAAACAGACAAACAACAGTACACAAAACAGAACATAGAAAACCAAAGACTGAGCAACACGAACCCCACCAAAAACTGGGGGTGATCTCAGGTATTCCTGAAGGGGTAAGCAGAAGATGTGGTATGATTGCCAATGAGACAACTCTCCACAGAGACCAAATGACGCAGAAGTTAGTAACTATAGGTCACTGTATGGTCTTCAACAATGAGCAAAAATCGCATAGCAAGATATAAAAGGCCCCAAAATGACAAATGTAAAACAATTCAAAAGAGAAAACTATATATAGTTTGCATTTTTTCCAAAATGTGAAGCTCTCAATGATGCCAGATATCTTACAAGTTGTGCAGGGATTTATAAGAGATTACCTATGGTCTCCCTTCCAAAATTTCTTATTTTACCTAAAAATGAAAATAATAATAATAATAATTGAAAACTTTCATAAAATCAAGGACAATTAACAACTGCATGATATCGATGAGGGTTTTTGTCTTTAAACAAACACATTAATATGCACCAACTTGCCTGGTTGAACAAGTTTTGGGAATACCTAAACCCTAGTGACAAGATATTCTGTCGAGAGGGTTAAAATTAAGCTATGAATGTCGAAGTTACCTTTATTTATACAGATAGATGTGTGCAGGTAAGTGTAGTAGGTGAATTTTGCCAATGTTTTATTTAGCTTAATGAATGCTGTGGCTAATGTTTAAAGGAATGAAACAATGTACAACTGTAATCATTAATTCTGCTGAAATTATAACCAATGATTTACCAAATAATAAATGACAACAGACTGATGAAAACAGCTAGGCCGAAACAAAGCTAACTCAGGTAAACTATTGGTTTTATTACTACAGTTATACGATGGTCTAGTGCATGAATTCTTCAGAATTTGCATTTATACAATGTTGAACATTGAATATATAATTAATTTAAGGGGGTACCCAACTCTTTGGCTAAAATAGATTTGGATCGTTTAATTTTCATAAAATTTTGACAAAATATTTACTTTGACCTGTTGACAAAAAATATTATTATTTCAAGATATTTGAACCACACAATTTACAGGAATTATTTCATTGGATATAAAGCAGTTTGACAAACACTCATTTTAATCATTAAGAAGCTTGATTTCTCTTTACTAATAGTATATGATTAAAACATCATTCAGCTTATTTTTAAAGAGTCATAACTCCCTTAGGTGGTCTGTACCCCTTAAATCAAACCCAGATTTGCTCGATTTACATTTAGGCACATTTCCACGTAGGTCCTAGGTAAATAAACCACACACTTCAATGCATGTTACTTTAAAATCACAGCAATATAAATGAACCTAAAAATTATCCATATCAAAACTAGAAACCAAAGAAATACCAATTGTTAATGTAACGAAGGAGCATAACTCTTGAACAGTAAATGTTGAAACCATCAAATCAACTTTGACTCTTTAATTTATGGTAGATAAAAACAGAAATAAAAAAATAAATTGAGAATGTGTCCAGATGATGCCCATGCTTGCATATAATGTTATAAAGAGACATAACTGAAGGACGGTAAAGTGACACCACCCAATTTTGAACTTGAACTGTCTTTTGTGGTAATAAGCATTGTGTATATGTTTCATAACATTTGGTTGAGGCAAACTTAAGTTAGAGAACGGAAACGGGCATAACTCTAGAACGGTAAAAGTGACGCAACCCAAATTCGAACTTTATCTGTGTTTTGTGGCAAACTAAAGTTAGAGAACAGAAACCAATATTGAGACGTACATACATACGGATGGACAAGGGTAACACCTTATGCCTCCTCCGGTGACAGAGGGGGCATAAAAACAGTGTTAAAAGTTACAAAGGGGCATAACTATTGTAAAGTTAAAATCAAAACTTTTTAAAAAATTTAACCTGTATTTTATGGCCCATGTGTTATAAGCATTCAAAATATTTGGGCAAGTGATACAATGTACCTTACTTATTATTTGGACACCAAATCTGCGGTGGATGGACGGTTGTACAGGCGTTCATGTGGCAGGGGATAATAAAATAAATAGGGAGACCTGACAGACTAATGTCTAGAGAACAACTGCAATATGTTATTCAATCTTATTATAATACTTTTTGTTTTTAATATTCAAGGAGACAAAATAACCAAATAAATGTTCCTGATACACATATTTATATTGCTCTGATGTATCCCTAAATGTCTCTCTCTCACTCATTATTGATTTTTGTAATAAAAGTTATATCAATATTAGGATTTTAATCTAGTTGATAAAAATATAGATGTTGAAGTTTGTAAATTTTCTTTTTCATTTCTAAAATTTTCATAAAATACACTTTGTAATTGGACATGGCCATGCATACATGCAAAGAAATTACTAAAATTAGTAATTTTGTACTTGATAATGCAAGTGATTGTTGGGGCAATAAAGCATATTTGTATGTTATAGGTGATTTTGGACAAAAGCCCCATTTTTCACAGTTTTTAATATGATTTATTTGTCTGCTACGTCTTGAAAAACAACAAACAAACATAAAAATGCTTCAGAAAGTTTTCCACTTAAAAAGAGTTATTTGTAGTCATAATGCATACAGCAATGTGCAACTCTTGACTGCAATAAATCCTGGTCCATGTCAAAAACCAATTACATTTGAAATACTTGAAGTTTACATCACCAGAAGTAAGTCAGGTGGTAACCAGTCTTGTTTTTGTCACTAATCTTTTTCAAAGTGATACAATTTTCTTTTGTGTTGTCCCAGCAGTAACTTGTAAAAGTAATAAATAACTGATTGATAAGTTAATCCCTACAAGGATGGGTTTACTCCGTTGTTGAGGAAACCTCTGTTGCTAGGGAGAGACAAACATTGAAAACTAATCATGTATGCTGTAGATAGAAATTACAAGGAAATGTCATTAACCTGTTAAGTAAGGTATTTGAATGAGGAATAAAGTGTCCTATTTCCATGATGCATTTAATTGCTGTCTATTGTGTTATATAAATTATTTCATGAGAAGTACAGCTTTTTGTTTTAAATAACATTGAATTATTAATGGATTGGTTTGTGTCAGTCTAACATTATCATATTTGTCTATCTTTGTGCTGGTTACTGTGTTAGTCTAACATTATCATATTTGTCTATCTTTGTGCTGGTTAATGTGTTAGTCTAACATTATCATATTTGTCTATCTTTGTGCTGGTTACTGTGTCAGTCTAACATTATCATAGTACATGTATTTGTCTATCTTTGTGTTGGTTAATGTGTCAGTCTAACATTATCATATTTGTCTATCTTTGTGTTGGTTAATGTGTCAGTCTAACATTATCATATGTGTCTATCTTTGTGCTGGTTAATGTGTCAGTCTAACATTATCATATTTGTCCATCTTTGTGCTGGTTAATGTGTCAGTCTAACATTATCATATTTGTCTATCTTTGTGCTGGTTAATGTGTCAGTCTAACATTATCATATTTGTCTATCTTTGTGCTGGTTAATGTGCCAGTCTAACATTATCATATTTGTCTATCTTTGTGCTGGTTAATGTGTCAGACCTACATTTTAATACATATGTAGATAGCTATCTTTGTGCTGGTTAATGTTTCAGACCAACATCTTAATACATATGTAGATAGCTATCTTTGTGCTGGTTAATGTGTCAGACCAACATCTTAATACATATGTAGATAGCTATCTTTGTGCTGGTTAATGTGTCAGAACAACATTTTAATACATATGTAGATAGCTATCTTTGTGCTGGTTAATTATGTGTCAGACCAACATCTTTATAATTAGCTATCTTTAGACTGGTTTAAGTCAAATGTAGCTACATTGTTGAGTCATGATATCATTATCTGATTTATCTATTTTTGGACTGGTTTGTGTCAGACAAACATTGTCATATTGGCTATCTTTCTGCTAGCTATGTGTTAGATATTGACTAACATCACCAGATATAGCTAACTTTCACCTGCTATGTGTTAGATACTGACTAACATTGCCAGATATAGCTAACTTTCACCTGCTATGTGTTAGATACTGACTATCATTGCCAGATATAGCTAACTTTCACCTGCTATGTATTAGATATTGACTAACATTGCCAGATATAGCTAACTTTCACCTGTTATGTGTTAGATACTGACTAACATTGCCAGATATAGCTAACTTTCACCTGTTATGTGTTAGATACTGACTAACATTGCCAGATATAGCTAACTTTCACCTGCTATGTGTTAGATACTGACGACTAACATTGCCAGATATAGCTAACTTTCACCTGCTATGTGTTAGATACTGACTAACATTGCCAGATATAGCTAACTTTCACCTGCTATGTGTTAGATATTGACTAACATTACCAGATAAAGCTAACTTTCAACTGCTATGTGTTAGATAAACATTTATAGATTAAGCCCTCTTTTAGCTGGTTTTTATCAAGACTGCTGGTTTCTGTCAGATTTAGCTAGTTTACAGCTAGTTTGTGTCAGATACACATTGTTGGATTAAGCCCTCTTTCAGCTGGTTTTAATCAGATTTATTTATCTTTTAGCTGGTTTGTGACAGATAAACATTATCAGATTAAGCTTATTTTAAGCTGGTTTGTGTCTGTTAAAATTTTGTCAGAGTTAGCTATCTTTCAGATGGTTTGTGTCAGATAAACATTGTCAGATTAAGCCCTCTTTCAGCTGGTTTGAATAAGATTTATTTATCTTTTAGCTGGTTTGTGACAGATAAACATTGTCAGATTTAGCTATTTTTCAATTGGTTCATTGTCAGATTAAGCTCTTTCAGCTGGTTTATGTCAGATAAACATTGTCAGATTTAGCTATCTTTAACTGGTTTATGTGACAGATAGACATTATCAGATTAAGCTTATTTTTAGCTGGTTTGTGTCTTAAAATTTTTGTCAGATTTAGCTATCTTTCAGCTGGTTTGTATCCGAATAAGATATCTTAGGACTGGTTTAAATGTATAAAATGTTGGGTATTTTATTTCAGACTAATAGATGGAGCAGTTTTATTGCTTGTTTGTTTCAAAAGGATTTAGCTACTTTCAGGCTGATTTGTGTGAGACTAATACATGTAGATTTAGCTTTTTTTCGGACTGGTATGTTATAAAACCTTAGTATTTTTTTTTGTTGGATTGTGTCAGAATAAGGCTGGTTTCTGTCAGACCTATCATACATCACTCTCCTTGGCCAAATTGTTGTTCTTGGGAATAACTTCTTTTTTTTTTTAACAATTTTAAATCAATGTTTGACACTATACTATTCCTATAATGCTAAGATAAAGTTTTCTGTTTCCTATCATGAGCCATCATTTTTTTCTTATTTCTAAATTTTCAAATTTTAATCTTGTATATGTGTAAATATGACGTATAATATAAAATCCAAAGAATTAATAATTGAAATTTGAAGTTCCCCTCTTATTGTGTATTTCTGTCTTGGAAATGTTTTTTATCGTCAAATTCAAGTATATGGTACTCATATCGATTGAGACATAAATTTCTTTGGATAAGAGCAACTCCATATTGGATTATATCATAAAAAATAAGTTCAATGACTTAATATGGACCAAAGTACTGTAAATAACTCTAACAAATAACATGAACTTTGTAAATGCGGGAAAACTTTGTTGACTAAATGTTTTCAATATGTCATGGGTTCCTTGCATAATTAAAACAATTATTTCATGAACCCCATATATTCCTGTTATCACTAAACAACTTATAATATAAATGCACAATAATAATAAGGCCAAACTCTTTATGTCACTGTTTTGAATGAAAGGTTGGATATATTCTGCTAAATTTGTCAACTGACAGAATTAAATCAGA